TGTGCGGCCATACGAGCTCTGGTGCTGGGTCTAGATTCATGTGAATAATAAATCAGTTATTCTTAATTCAAAAAGCACTAAATGTAGTCTTTTAGCCTATGAGTATCATTAACAAAATCTATTTTTAGCATATGGGAAAAAATTTCTTTAAATGTTTCCTCGTCAAAATTTCTTAGCACTATTAACTGCCATAAATATTACACTGTCGGTGAATTCATAACAATTGATGACAAATTTGAAGCTTCCCGAAGAAGATGTTCTTTCAAGCAGTATATTCCTGATAAACCTGAATAATAATTTCTGAATAGCTTGAATGATAATATAATTAATTCCTAATAAATTCTATATTAATATAATACATTTTTTATTCCTTTAAAAAGATTTTATTTCATAAAAAGTATTATGGAAATTAAAATTTTAATTTTTATAGTTTGTATATTTTTTAAGTTTGAGCATCAAATTTTGTCATAAATGTAGCACTTTTACCTGAAGAGTAACAGTTTTTTCTTCAAAAAGCACGAGCCAGGTCTTTTGGACCCAGGGCACGCGCTCGTGTAACTCAAAAGAGCGTGCACGCTCCTGGGTTAACTTAAATCTGTAATCACTGCCAAGCGTGATGTCAACAGAGAAGTTTACCTTATTCTTTGTTATTTAATTACTAACATAAAAAAAAAAAAAAAAAAAAAAAAAAAAAAAATTTAAAGAATTGTTGCATGAGTCATTACACAAGTTGTCATGTATTGATAAACATGTAATAAAGCCAAATATAATAAATAATGATTCACCAGGTTGGTGTCAAGGATATAAAATATTACTTGGTATTTAAAATTAACAATGTTTCTATGTAGAATGTTATGGTTTGAGATGCATGGCAAGCAGATACGTAGCTATGGAGTCAAAGTATTGATTGCACAAATTTATGCTAAAATGATTGCTTCTTTAATAATGAGGTATTTTATTTAGAGGCAAAGTGAAGTTAAGAATCAAGACGCTCCACATGTTTTATTATGAGGGAAAAAATCATATGCATATGTGTAAAGCATACAAAAAAAAAAAAAAAAAAAAAAAAAAAAACCTTAAGAAAAGTTTGGTGGTGGCTTTGAGGTCATTCGGATACTGGACGTCCGAATCTGACTTTGTATTGCATTTTTTACTGTTTTTCATTTTTCTGAATAATTTAGCATAAATGACTTATTAATCCTAATAAAATTTGATTAATTCTACAATTTCATTTTATTGTAGTAACATTATCTTTACGTAAAACACATTATTTGCACACTTTTTCACAGGTGATGCAGTTTTTTTGTCTGCCACCATACATTATTAACATTCTCATGAAGTTTTTTTACTTAATTATCATAATATGATAATCATAAAAAAATATTTAAGGTATAGATACATCCAGTTTAATTAATGCAAATAATATTACAAGTTCACTATGCACCAATACTCAAGCTGTGTTTTCTAAAACAGAGATTTTCTAAGATTCTGTGAATAAGATCTCTGTTTTGAAAATAGTTATAATAATCAGTATTTTTTACAATAATCTGCATAGATTGCTCATCATTAAATCTCTTAACATCAGAAACCTTTTTCTAAAGTATGGTTTATTTTTAGTTACTAATTGAAATATTCCACTTATCAGTTTGTGTATGGCCCCTGAATATGATTATCTGATTTTAACATCAAATATCTCAGTCAATTTTTGTCATATAGAACTCTAACGTATACAAAGTTTTTATGTATATAAGTACAGAGACTGGAGAAAGGTTTGGTAATTTTTATAAAAATTGATTTCTTTAAAAACACCAAAACATAAATATTTGCATCTAAAACATTTTTGTAACAAGCAGTATATGTATGAGACCCACAGTTGCAAAAACAATTGCTTCAGTCATCAATATGTGAATAATTTATAAAATTGGAATTTATTATGAAGAAATTTTTGCATCAAATCTTCTGATTTCTTACACTTTCATGACTGAAGCCTTTATTTTGCAATATGTGACTAATTTATCAAAATGGATATTTTGATAACAAAAAAGAATAAGATCAGGAATTTGACCTTTCATTTTCTAAGATACACAGATTAAACTGTGATTTCAAAAGTTTTTTTTTTTGGGGGGGGGTAACACCATACTGACACTTTAAAGGATTAAAATATATTAAGAGCAAAAGTACAGGACTGCTAATTGAGAAATATGACAGGATCAAAATTACTAGATTTAGTAGAACGTTGAACAAAATTACTAGACTTAGGAAAACACTGGAAGATATATGTCTAAAAAATTATATTATTTACATGCCCATACACAAAAGTTTTGGATATTTTGTACTTACAAACCAGAGATGTATATAAATAAATATTTTCATTAAAAGCAATGTGCATAAATAAATATGTTCATTAAAAATCAGGACTTAGATGATGCCAGTGGATGAATCATGAAAGTTTAAATAAATAATAATAACAAAAAGCAGCACATCTGTAGTATATTAGGCAGTACCTGCTCTTCAAGTTGATAAAAGGTTAATAGGTGTTGTATTTTACAAGATTGTGAATAGGTTTGCTCTGTCCAAAAACACTTGGTATTGGGATTTTGAGCTTTACTATTCTGATGATTGACTGATCACTAAGATAAATAATTAACAAAGCATCACTTGATAATTACAACTCCTAGTAACTCTACTATTATACTCCTTTATCAAGAAGCTTAAAACGATAACACAGAAGCCACTGAGGAAACCAAATATTAGATACCAGAATACTATCAATAATTGCAGAGATTTCGAAGAGTTATACAGAGGACACATGGATGCTAATAAATCAGCAGTCTTGTATCAGAACATGGCAGAAGTGGTGTAGAAGATCTTTATTTATATCATTATCTATTTTCCAGGTTAAATTTGATCCAGGCTCCTACTTTTTTTAAGCCCCTAGATAATTTTTTTCAAGATAATGAATATGATGACATGAAAATTATTTATTAAAGCACTATAGATAATTCAAATTAGTTTTTATAAAGCAATGAATTGTTATAATATTTTATTGAAGTTAAATCAAAAAGCTGCAAGTGGGCAGAAACATATCAATAGTGAAGGAAAATATATAAAAGGCATATCTTTTATGCACAGCTCAAAAATGAAGTTTCATATAAGTGAACATGAATGTTTTCACTTCGTCTGGGTAAATTTGTCATATCACTCCACAAGAATATTTACTTTCCTAAGTTTGATAAAGGAAGCAACCTTGGAATGGTTTATATATATGTGTGTGTGTTTGAAAAGGTTGCTCTGTCCAAATGCACATGCATGTGGGGGATGGCACATGCACAGCATTTGTGTACTGCTATGTTCACAAGAGATTAAGAAAACGTGGCTAATAACTATATAGGACCCCAAGAATAACATAACATTTGGCCAGTGTTTTTGATTTGTATCTCATATCAGTGGGATATTTTTCTGTTATATATTCAATGGCATGACTGCAGCTATACTACTAGTTCTATGTAATTCTGGATGCAGTAAATAGTTATTAAGCATCAACCCATATACATCATTAAATAGAATTTATTAGGCATATATAACCAAATATAACCTTTACATGGTTAACACAATCATAATTTAAATGAACAAAATTTTGAACAAAAGCATAAAAAAGGTAAGAAACAATGAAATAAAGAATAACTTGCACATAAATTCTTAAAGCACATAGCTAAAAAGTAAATCATAAAATTCATAAAACTTAGGATTCACCAATACATACTTAAAATCGCTTTTTTTTTTTTATGAATAAACTATGCAAATTCCAAATACACTAAATACTGAATATGCCTATCTTTGCTGATTTGATAGATGTCTATTCAGTAATCCATTTTGTCCAATACATGGGCCAGTCTATCACAGTCAACTAAAGTCATAACATCAGTTATATGATTGTGAAAACCTTGAAAATTAGTGAGAAGCTAAGGGACAAAAATAATAAGTACCCTTGACACACTGCCATAAAAACAAATTACACAAGTGGGGAGTTTTTCTTTATTTTTTATTTTTAGGATCCTAGAGAATGCTGTGGTCATTACATTACATGTCCTCTCCTTATCTTGTGTAGTCTATTCACTTTTTGAGCAAATTTTTGAAATATTCTCACATATCTCTGTGATAGTGAGCTAATCAATTATTTTTCTGAACGAAATAATGACCACTGACTTCATTCAAATATCCCATTTGTCAGTTTCCCAATATGTATAAGTAGATCACCACAGTGGTGGTAGATTCTGTAATGAAAAATGGACCATAATCCATCCCTTTTGAAACTGCAGAAAACTAATTCATCTTATCTGAGTCTGTCCAAGCTGAACACCCAGTTTCCATCTATTGATGAAAGCTGGTGATTATTTTGCTTTCAAAATCTGACAGCTGATCATATTGTTTTCAGTGGCAGTGTAATGGCATCCCCAGTTAGAAAGCATACATCTACTCTTGGTTATGTGCAAGCAAATTGCCTCTGCATACCTTTTTTTCATGCACCAGGGTGAATGAAGTTCAGTGCCCTTTGGTGGCATTACACAATGCTCAATTCACTTTTTGAAATTGAGAATATAGCAACAATTTTATATAAAGTTGATCTTTAACTAACTGAACATGAATTAAACTGCATTTTATTCTGTAACCCAAATTATTTGATAAATTTAATATCAGTCATATTTTTTAATATTATAAAAAAATAAAATTAGATTCTAAAAATAATAGAATTGTATGATTGGCAAAAAACTATCCTCTCTAATAATTTCTGAAGAAGCAGATATAAAGTAACATTTAATATTAGGCAAGATATATTATTGTTCATGTGAGTATTTTTAAATGGTACTGAAACTATAATTAATGAATATAAATTTAAAACCTAACCTTGTGATAAGTGATATTTATTATTAAGTTTAAAACATATAATCTGAAGCAAAAGCCTAAATTTCGTGTAAATTTAAATGCACTTAAAAAAAAAAAAAAAAGTAAGCCAATTCCAAACCAAATAAATAGGTATTATTTCAAATACATGGAATCAAATCATTTCACATTTTAAATACCAGCAAAGTCACAGCAAAAAGAATTACTTTAAGAAATACAATATGATAAATATCGCAGGACTTATGAAGAAAATTCTAAGTATGTCCTATATTGCTGTATCAATTTCTATTATATTTTCTCTTTTAAACTAAATTATTTTTTATGCCCTTAATAATACATCTCACTGTATTTTTCATAATATTAATCTAGTCCTTTTTATATAGTTAGGGTTTTCTTCTCAAAAGTTGATTGTTTTTGAATGTTACTTTGACCTCACATACTAATCTCACTATTATCAACTGATAAAATTAAACTTTAGTACCTTGCAGTATGAACAAAGTTTAGCTGGAGAAAATAATTTTTTAACGTAAAAAAAAAAAATTAATCAATTTATTACAAAAGAAATGCCAAAAAGGTACATGCTAAAGAAATCAATATTATGCAAGAGGAATTGGCATAATGTGAAAAAATTTACAGTACTACAATTTTGAAGATTAAACAGAATTGAAATTATAGTATTACAAGTTTACTCACATTCAGAGCCAGCACCAGAGCATGTGCAACCAATGTGAATGCAATCAGTGAAACAATTTTAGAAAATTGGGACAGCCCTGGATGGTACAATTTACAAATCATAAAACTTGCAGCGAGTGGCAAAATGTTTAGCACTGCTCACATTAAATCAATCCCTTTTGCTTTCATTAGTACCTTTAGCAAAAGATCAAATAGTTAACTTTACAAATGGCATTAGTTGGAAATTAGAGCATTAGAAAATGTACTCACCAGTTCATAGCAGAGATGATACAAGGAAAATTAGTGATGATTATTTAATTCTCTAAAACACTGTAAACAATATACTTTCATCCTACTTTACTGAGTGTATGTTTTAACTGCATTCAAAACCAAATTAATAAAATGAAACCAATCAATTTCTTGATAATTAACATTATACTAACTTTTCTAAAAATTAGGATAAGTTATTTTTTATACAAAAATACTCAAAAGCTGTTTATCTATATAAAGATGCATACTTTAGTGGATGATTTGATGAGGAAACTTAGACTATATTTGAATTAGATATGGGTGGAATCCAGGAAAATATATGTAATCAGCCTATTTAGTTCATAAGTGATTAAGAAAGATGATTAAGTTATTGAACAAAGGATAAATTATGGTATTTAATGGTTTACAGTGTTTTAGAGAATTAAATTATCTACTTGCATGCATTCTACAGATTCAATTCAATTTTTAACTTACAAATAGCATAGTGATAGCAGAACAAGAAAAGGATTTTAAAACAACATCAGTAAGCTGTTATAAAATGAATTTAGTATGCACCATAAACCAAAAACATTATTAAGTATGTACAGAAATTGAAATTTTATATAATGGCATTTTTAGATGCATATGAAGTAAAATTTTCTGCTACTGTCCCTAATTTTGGCAGCCAAAAAGTACTTCAAGAAAATTGTGGAATTTCTTATCACTATATTTTTTATTTATTTATCATATTTTAACATTCTGTATAGTTTTTCTGTAAAATATATACTACTAAAAAATCTTAGAATTAATTTATAAGAACACTTACTGCAGGAAGAAATACTGGTTTTACTTCAACAGGCACATCCTTATGCAGTTTCCTTCCCTAAAAAGGAAAGTACCTTCAAAATATACAGTTCAGATTCATGTATTAACTATTAATTTATTAACCTTATGACTTAAAAAAAGTCAATACTGACGAGGAATTAGTCAATACATCAAAATCACAGTTTCACTGCCCGTTCATAAGCACATGATCTAGAAGGAGCCAAAATACGTAGAAAGAAATCATTGTATGCTTAAATTTTTCATTATTTCTTATAATACTTTCACTTTATGAAAAAATGAGAATATATTAATTTTTTGTACAGTGCAAAATACATTAGTACGTTTACAGTACTAGTATACTTTACACTACAAAAATATTAAGATGGGTTTTTAGGAAAAAAAATATAAATGGATTTTAAATCACACCTACAAGTAATACAAGCATACATAAGTAATACACAGCTTGCAAGATATGTACTCAGCGATTAAAAGGTAACTCAAATATATCAGAAACATAGCTGCAGTGTGCATTTTTACCTCCTGTTAAGTCATATATAAGGTACAGGAGGTAATATTTTCAGCCCAAAAATTCGATAGCGAGTTTTCATTGAATAAGCATGAATTAAAGAGTCTTCACAACAATTTCTTACTTTTTTTACAATGATGTCTCTATATAAGTGTGATTTATTTTGTCCATGATAACTCTTACATCAAACTTCCAAAAATTTCTGTTTTCCGTATTCAAGCCTACATTTATATAAAGAGTTGATTAGATTTTAGGTAAAATTGGATAAGTGGCACTTTACATAAAGATAGCCTTTAATTGACAAATGGAAGTGGTGCTTTATTTGAAGCCCAAAAGAGTTTTTAATGGAAAACTTTTCAGTTTTATTGTTTTAAGACTTTTTATCAATGCGAACAATCTATTAAATTTTGGCTAAAACTGATAAACCAGAAGTGGTAATTTATTTGAAGCTCCAAATACACTTTCATAAAAAAATATGTCATAATTCAAAACTTCTCAAATTTGGTTTTTAACACATTCATTGCCAAAGCTGGTATTGTGTGTCCATTCACATACGCCACGATCTCATCTTTTAAGTAGTTTTTTTTTTTTTTTTTTCTGTTCTTTTTATTATTTCATTAGATATAAAAAATTATTTTTAGCAGTAAATTCACATGAGTATATTCGTAGGGGTTATGAAACAATATTTATACTCCCCATATGAACTATGAGATAACTTGGAACTAGATGATAAACAATACTTACCTTTCTGCACATGCTATATATTATTTTACATTAGTCTTACATAAGACATTGAACAAGGCTTTGAAGAGTCCATTTATAACATTTTGCAAGTGAAAGAACCAAAAACAAATTTGCATTCTAAACCTGTCATTACTGTATGTTTGTGTGAATGAATCAAAAGTGAGGATTAAAGATCTGAATAATAAAGAGATTTTAAAGAACTGTCCTAAATCAGCTTTTAATAACAAATATGGAAGTTCTACACTAAATTAAACAAAATTTTGTTATATGCAAACCTTTTGTTCCAATATGTATAAAATTTGCAATTATGATTAAGAATTCCCTGGAGTCAAAAATCAGAAAATATGGCATGAATAATTAAAATTTCTGATCCAGAAAGGGCATAAATTTTTAAATCCACTTTAATTTATTTCCCAGTAACACATATTCATTTATATATAGATATGATGATTAAAAACAAAGAAAATGCTAATTGATGATTAAATAAAAATCCATAAATCATACTTTCTCTCATTAAATGCAAAAACTTAAGTCTAAATAAAATTTATGCAATAAACAAACCATTTGAAGATGTTGATGAGCCACACAGGATAGGTCATATACAGCATCTTGTAAATTTTTCTTTTGATCTCCATGTAATAGTCCTTCTTGCGATAATCTATGCTGAAATGCAATTATTTGCAAAAATTAAAATTTTTCTTTTTTTCCCTTGACTTATTTAAAAAAATTATGTACATACATATATAATTTAAAGTAAAGTAGAAAGAACAAACGATAAAAGACCTATGTGGTCAAAAATTTTGCGCATTGTGCTTCTGTATTAATAAATACCTTGCTCATAAGTTCTAATGGTAGAAACACTCTCCCTTTTGAAGCATTGTAAGGGATACCACGAAGTATGTTACATATTCCTTGAGCTATGCCTATATGACTGGCAACATGATCGCAATGAACACTGGTTATACCTAGAAAGAAAAAAAACATGCAGTACAGATGGCATTTAATAACATAATAAATTATGTATTTATCTAACTAAATCATTCAGAAATAAAAATATTGAAGCAAAAATATATCTTATAATATTTGAAAAATAACAGAATATAAAGAATTTGTTATTAAATATTAAAAATTATAGAATACAAAGTCACATTAAGGAATTAATATCAAGCAAAATAAAAATGGACATTTAAAAGATCCATATAAAAATAAATATTTAAATTTAGATTTAATAATTTAAATAGAATTTTCAGTCAAGCATAATGCATGTCAATATTGATAATGTTAGACCTTAAAAATTAAACTATACAAATCTTCAAATATCACTAAAGAAGACAAAAGTACATACCAAAAAAAAAAAAAAAAAGTATTAGTTTTTAATCAGCTCATTAATTTATTTAGCTATATCTACATGACCTGACATTCCATATTCGGTTAACAGACTTAGTTCAAGAGTAATCTAAAATGTTTTCCTTGAATTCAAGCAAAGCTCAGATTACAGTACCTTAAATCTAAGTTAAACACTAGAATAACTTATTAGAAAACTAAAGGAAATTCTAAATGTTATAAAGATGCAGAATGAGCCCTAAATATCCCTTACAGAAAATCTTTCAATAGTTATATTATATTTTAATATGCTGTCCAATTTCCTGGGAATTTCACAAACAAAGAGTAGCAGCACTATTAAGAACAAAAGCTGAATACATCATAATTAACAGAAGCTTTCAAGAAATGCAATACATTTGTAGGTTTTTGGAAAAAGTAACAGGACCAACTATATTGTGGAATGCTTTCCAGACTATATAATGATTAGTAATGTTGAGTGCTGTACTGATGACCCAAGTTCAAATCTCAGAGGAGGCATGGATGTTTGTAGTATATAGTGTCTGTGAGGCAACAAGGCACTCAAAATACACAGCAAATTGAAAGTCCTTTAGTTAGTTGTATGGAAAGAGGAGCAGAAGCTTGATAGCTATCAAGGCCTGGTGATACTTAATATATTCCTTGAGGCATAAGCATATAAAACAGCAGTTATTACCCGACAATAACATATTGGTTCCTAAACAATGCTCACTGCAAAGAAATGCAGGGGGAAAAAAAAAGCCTACATGCTAATACAGATAAATACTCTCATGTTGACCGCTTTTCTATCGTGAACACTGTAGACTATCCTATAGTCAGTACACACACACACACAAAAAAAAAAAAAAAAAAAAAAAAAAAAAAAAAAACTATATGAAGGAACTCACTGAGATGTATTCTCTTTGACAAAAAAACTCACAATAATGAAGACTCATAGCAAATAGTTGGGTGTTTTTTGTGTGCCACACTTCAGAAATAAATAAATCAGCTATTCAAGCTTCCCTCTAAATATACACCCAAAATGAAATATGCTTCAAACAGTATTAACATTAAAATGAATATGAAACAGTTATAAAAACTAATAATTTTTTTCAAGTTACAAAGAAGAACCAGCAATAGCTCAAAATTCTAATGTATTTATTACTTAAATACAGGTAATATATCTATTGAAATGTTGAACATAATTATAAGGTTATATATTGCCCAGTAAAACTAAGTATAACTATTTAAAATGTTTGCACTTGTATATAAATATATGCCGAAATATGAAAGGATACATTTTCAATAAAAAATTAAGAGGAGGATTATGGGCAATCTTTAAATATTTTATGAAAATACAAACAGTACATTAAGAAAGAAAGCAATACAAAAAAACATTGTACAATAAATACATGAGGTGCTGAATAATTATTTTTACATACCTAAAGTTTGTAAAATTAATAAATATACAGGAACTACAGCCATATTAGAATATTCTTCAAGTTCTTTGATGGAAAGAAATGGTTTATCATTTAAAAGAGCTTCCTGAAAATAATTAATTATGTTAAAACAAAATTAATTTGAAGAAATTTGCAAATCAAAAAAGTTTGCTAAATGAAGTATATATTTTTTGTTTAATATAAAACATAAAAATCTAAGCTTTGCATGAATTTTAAAAGGCATTCAGTAAATAAGAAATACAGTAAATCCCCAACTATCCAACATTCAACTAACAATAAGGTTCAAGTAACCAGAATATTTAAAAATTTCAAAGTTTTTTTTTTTTTTTTTCTTTAGGCAAAAAATTAAGCAAATAAGAGACTAGTAAAGTCATCATAGAGCATTTATAAGACTATGATGCAGAATAAACAAAAACTGCTGCCAAATAGTGTGATTTAGTGCCAGTAATAAAAAGGGTGATATCACAATACAATTATACGATATTTGTCATTAATTTTATGTTAATCTGATTATTTCTCAAGAAGGTAGTTTAGTTTTTGTAAAGAAGATTTTAAGTTAATAGCTACTTTATCTGTACTTCCTCCTCATTAAAAAAAAAAAAAAAAAAATCTAAACATAACATCAGTAGAATATTTACAGATTTAGGAGGTCCTGGCATCAAGCAAAGCGTGTGTTAATGGGCACAACATTTTGAAAATGGATAAACAAGAGCAATGGAATGTGAATGTGTGAGAATTTATGACAAGCAAATTAATTTTTTATATAAGAGAACTGTAACTATATCTTTTGATTACCTGATTAAATAAAGAGCAATAAACTTCTGCCAAAATGGGTGGCAAGTTTGGCAGAATCTCTGCAAACTAAACTAGTCAATGGGATTTCATAATTGGATAAGATATTTTAAGTTCATATATGTAAGGTCAACGAAAATACTTTCCCCACCCAAAACATTTACATGACGTACAGACATTACCTTATTTTTATGCTGGTAGACATGAAAAATGAGCAGTGCCCTCGCAGGGACTTGAATCCAGACCTCTCAAATACGTGCCGAGTGCGCTAACCATTACACCATGAAGGCATACTGGAAGAAGTGAGAAATACCTCATATATTCTTTCTTTTAAAGGGTGACCGGAGATTAGGGACCCAATCGTCAAATCCTGATGGTGAAGAAGCATCATCCATCACCTTTTTAGTTTGGGCACCACTGTAGAGTCATTAGGGTATTTTAAAGCAGAAAAGGTGAAAAATGAGCAATGCTCTCACCGGGACACAAACCTGGAACTCTCGAATACGAGCCGAGTGTGCTACCATTACACCACTAAGGCATGCGGAAAGGATTGAGAAAATACCTCATACACTCTGCCTTTTAAAGGCCGACTGGGAATTATGGGACCTAATCGCCAAATGCTGGAGGTGAAGAATCATCATCCACCAAATTTTAGTTCATCCGCCACTGTAGAGACATTAGGTTATTTTTATGCTGGAGACGTGAGAAATGAGCAATGCCCTCGCTGGGACTCAAACCTGGACCTCTTGAATATGCAGCGAGTGTGCTAACCGTTACCCCAAGAAGGCATGCTGGAAGGAGGGAGAAATACCTTATAATGTTCAATGCTGGCATTTGATATTCAAATTGATAACAAATAAAATAACTGTTTCTGTAATTTTAGACTGGAAACTTCTTTCATTCATTTGGCTTTTGTAATGTTAGTATTTTTATGTACTCAGCTATCTGGAATTTTCATGTATTCGGCATTTCCCCAACGTTCTGGTTATTTGAGCTTTTGCTGTATTTGAAATATTTACAAAATGGTGACAGAAAATAAATATGAAATGCTTTCAAATACTTACTCGACTAGATATTAGTCTTTGAAACCATGCTTTGGATAGTTTATGCCTTTGAAGAACCTAACAGAAAATATTAGCATTAGTACTTTTTGTAATATTTTCAGGATTTTAAAACATTTCAAATATGTACAGACATACAACATGCATAATTTTTAAACAAAAATAAATAAATAAAATAAATAAAAAAATAAATAAAATAACAATTTTAAAAAATCTGAAAGTTTCAGATTTTAAATTATGTCCAAAGGGGAGTTTTTTAAATATTTTTTCTGTTAAATTTATTTATTAAATACCACATTCTTCGAATTTCTTATATATTTTCAGTTGTTTGGAAAATTATGAAATTCTCATCATGAATATGGAATTAGCATTATAAATTTTCATGATATAAATAACCTTTCTCACAGAAACTAGACACAAGAATCTGGCAAGAATAAATCATGGATTAGGATCATCATAGTTTAATTGCATACAACATACAAAGTGATGAAGAACAAGCAGTAAGAATTACAATTTTTGTAATTTTTTATAAAATCTTTCAAAACAAATAAAAGTACAATGAACAGTAAAATTTAGTATCATCCATTCAATATCTATCTATCAATAGTTGTGAAAACAGGAAACTGCCCTTTTTTTAAGATTTAAACACATCAAAAGAATATATTTTAACAGCAAGTAAAAAAAAAAAAAGTTAATTGGGGGGGGAACCATTCATTTTACAAATATGTTCAATTTTTTTTATTGAAATTAACACTATAAAAACAGTATATTTTAACCTGTATTGTAATCTGAGTTAATGTGTATGTCTTCTCTTTAGGAATAAAAGTAACATGAAAATTAATACAAACCTTAGCTAATTCTTTTGTCACTGGCTGATCAGGAGGGTTGCCCTGAAACAAAGGATAATGCAAAATTATACATGAATAAAAATTTATATTAAAATTTCTATATATATATATTAAATCAACATGTTTAATAGCATTTTGAATTAAAAACTTAATATAAGAATCAAATTTAGAACATAAAATCTTAGAATTTAGCATGATAAAGAAATTGAGCTTTATTTAAATAAAATAATCATATAACTGAATAGTATTAAAAATATAAAATTACTTCCTGCACATTCAGATAGTTATAATTAAATGAAAAAGGTTAATTTATTTAAAATAGCCTATGGGAATTATTTGAAATCTCATATGCAACCTTTTTTTAACTAATTTAGTACAAAATTTAATATGTTTATCTACAGCAAAGCCTTTACTAAATCTCACTTGAACTAAAAGTTAAATATATTAGAAACATTAATTTTCAACATAACTGCAGTCGTTATTCAAACATTTATAAGTCTCGGGACCAGGTTTTATATTCCTGCCCTACTGTTTGAGCAATATCACGATTCCTCATTTTATCTTGTCATCATCATCAGGCCATTTCCCAATGAGATGTTTCTGTTGATGCAAAAAACGAATGAAAAATTTGTGGGCTTATACCTAGACCCATTGTTTTTTAATCTTTTTTGTCCTGTGCAAGCCTTTCAACATTGCTAGATGACTATTCCACCCTTCTTTCCAAAACTCGAAAAATACATACACATTTATTTAAATTTACATTATTTTATTGCATTTTATACTTAAACAAGAAAAAGTATAAAAAAAATTTTATAAATACCAAAGTAAGTTTAAATTAAAAATAAATAAAAGTAATTTTTTTATATTCATAAACAAAAGCTAAATACAGTACTAAGTCTGAGATCCGCATTCATCGGGACTTCAGCTATTCCAGAGTTGGGATTTTTCTGAATCATCAGTTTAAATCTAGTAAGATGATATGTACAAATTAAAAAATGAAATAATGATTTATGATATAATGAAGCATTTATGACCTTGAGGCAGAGGTTCTCAATGGTAGGGGGGAATTTTAGTGTCAGGGGGATGAGGTTAGCCTTTTAATTACATATTAAAAATTTAGTTTTCATTTATGATTATAAAAAACTATTGTTATTCAAGTTTTGGTATTTATCAACATTTTCTGTACTTTTTCTTGTTTAATTTAAAAAACATGAATTTTTTTATTTTGGGAAGGAGGGGGTAATGATTATCTAACAAAGGCGAAAAGAGGGAAAAAAAAGTGAACATAGGGCAAAAAAGGTGAACCACTGCCTTAGAGGAATCAAAGTTCCCCCCCCAAAAAAAAACACCTCAATGTTTATTTATTTGCATTTTAGAGCATTCCTTTCAATGCAAGTTTTTTATTTTTTTTTTATGCTAATACTTTCTCTTTAACTTTATAGATAGATTAATTTCTTGTTCCATTACAAAGTTCCATTGTTCAAGTCCTGCAAATGCTGTGTTGAGAATTCCCACTAAAATTTTTTCGTTCTCAACAAGCTCTCTGCCACTTACTATAGATTTCACCATCTGTTAGTTCAATGGCCATGCCTTCCTTCTTTTTCTGCGCAGGACTATCTGACGCAACAATCTTCTTGGAAGACACCGTGAAATAATTTTTTTTATGTTAAATGTTAAAAACATTTAACTCACAATTACATAAACACATAGATCAAAGAACACTGAGTGATCTGACAAGAGTATTCCTGAGTCGAGTCGGATTGAGAAATGTGCCACGAATACCAACATCCTTCCCTGTAGCTCATTACCCGAGTCAATGGGCAATGCTCGTACTTAGAGACAAATTTTTCACTCATACTTTCCTTGTATATTGAATTTCGCTCAATCTCGAGGTTCTACTGTAAGTTGGATAACAAATACACAAACTAGGGTTTTTGAATTTTAAATAATATACACAGACATCTTTCTTACAGCAAATGTTTTTCCAAGTGCATCTGTCCAGAACTGCATCCTCATTTGCCCAATTGCTGTAGTTGATACAACTTCTCTCACCTGTCAAGAAATCCAACATCATAAATTTAATTACCAGAAATCATCAGATGCAGCGTATGTTATAGCAATAATATCAACACCAATGAGATTATAAAATTTATATTATTTTTCTTACTATTTTGATTTACTTTAAGTGTTGTTGTGTTTTGAATCCTTATCATTTTTCTAACTACCTTGTTGTTAATATCTCCCAGGAAGACTAACACTTTAAATGGGAAAGAAAGATGCCTATGTGAGGTTTAATATTATCAAAAAAGGGGAGAGGGGAAACTAAGCTAACAAAAATCTATGCCAAACGAAGGTTCCCTCCCTTAATATTAATCCAAACTTCCATTAAGTTCTAGAGATGGGAAATCCCATTGCACAAAAATTGCAATAAACAAAATTTAAAAAAAAAATACACTAGATTCAATAGAACTTGCATTAAAGAATTTTAAGATCTGCCAACCTTTTTCACAGGAATGTCTGTGCCACTAACATGTATCAGAATCATCCTCGCATAATATTAACATGTATCAGAAAAAATAATAATATGAAGTTAATTGAAAAAATACAAAAATGTAATAAAACAGTTTTTATTACCATATACCAAATGATAATGCATTAATTTAAATAGATATAACATACATAGATCAAGATGGCTACAAGAGAATAACAATGCAGGATCTTTTCCATTGATATAGCACATGGTAATGATGTAATATGCAATTTATTGCTTTCAGTTAGTCTTTTATTTTTGATATGGCACCTCTAAAATAGCCATTTCTAAAAACGAAAATAAATACAGCATATAACCTTACTTAGCAAGCATAATTGGTTACCGAATTTTATTTGCTAAATAAATAATTTTTAAGCAAAACAGTTCTTTTTTCCTTAAGAAATCGATGTGAAATGGGATAATGAAACAAAATACTCAAATACATTTATAATAGCACGATTTATTATTTATGATACAGCCTTTGTTACAAGAAAGTTGTCTTAAGAAATTTGTTCTTGTCTATGCTTTAAAATTTGGCAAAAACAAAAACAGCATTATCATTAAATAAATTTGTTGTGCACATAGCTACTGCTTTATCAGGGTGATGCTTTTCAATGTACAATGCAACAGTTTCTCATGCTTTCAGCATTTCCCTTATTTCACTCGAAAGTTGTTATTTTGCTGAGGCTGTTTATCTCTCTTCTCCTGACAAAATCTCCTCCACACGACATGTGGACAGAATACAGCTCCAGAAGCTCTTAGGACCAAGGCGTTTTGATTATGGAATACCTTTACAATTAAAGGCAATTACCTCCATATCTTTGATAATAAAATACAAAATAACTAACAAAGGCATTTGCTAGCGAAAGAGAAGCTGAAAAAAGAGCTGGATAAGAGGTCCATAAGCTTTTAGGTGCTCAGCTCCTAGCTATGCCTTTCCACTAGCTCATTGATGTGATTGGTATCTACCTCTAGCCACATAAACTTAGCCCAGAGACAAAACCTCATTGACTACAGGCACTTTCTTAAATCCCCCAAAGCTGAATTCAATAATACTGTCTGGCCAAAGCTTATTTCATGCAAAAATTATGGTTCTCTTAGTTATTCCCTCCCATGCATCGTTGATCATCTCAAAACAGGCAACTATGTGAAAGTGATCTTTACAAAACTCTCGAGAAAGGAGACTGGTTCTTTCAGTTATCTGAAAGTAATGCCCAAAGCGTGCTTTTATGCTTTTAAAATTTGAAATGACCTGCTGAACCATGGGTTGCAGTAAATAAGTGGTGTTATGAGCCATAAACTAGACCTTGATGAATTTAAATTCTTAAAGGAGGTCATCTTCTAGGCCTGGAGGATGTGCAGGAGCACTGTATATAACAAGCATGGCAGAATGGCAACTTTATCTCAAGCATTTAATTTTTTATAGACAGACCAAACACTTCATTAATTTAATCTGTTGGAAGGTCAGGAATCTAATATAAAAGACAAATTACATAAACTTTTAAGGACAATTTCTTTTCATCCCCTCAAGTGTTTCTTGAACTTCACTGCAAATATGAAATAGAAATATAATTACTTTTGTAAGACACATCTTTTAGAACTTATACAAATCTATCCTGAAAAGTTAAAAGGAGTAGCCCTAAGAGTAACAGTTCTTCCTCTTACTAAAGTTAGTGTGCAAAGACTATTCTTAGCTCTGAAGTTTAGCACATCAGATCTACGGTCCTCTATCGAAGAAGATTTTGCTGAAGCTATACTGTTTCTTAGAAATTACTAATGTTAGTTTTCCCATTTCATAATAAATGTTAATTAATATAAATAATCTGCTATGCGATCAATTTTTTCCCCTGTAGGATTTATTACTTCTTTTATATTAAAAAAATATAAAACATTGGGATATTTTATTTATTTTAAAAGCAATTACTTGCAATTTTTTACAGCTGATTACATAATATAGCTGCTTTGGGAACTAGTAACCAGAAAGTTTGTGTTACCACAAATATTTTTATAATTTAATCTGCTTTGTGACAAAATTTTTGATGCGTTCACGTCATGTTTCCACTTTGCGTGCACAGTTTAAAACATTTTGTTGCATAATTTAATTCTATATTTAATAAATAACTTTTATAACATTTGTAAACTACTGTGAACCAAAAATCCTAAGAATTTCTTGTTAAACTTTTATTTTATTTAGAGTTGAGTTTATAAAACTTTTTTTTTTTTTTTTTGAAACCTGTAATGTAAAACCTGTTTTTAATATTAAAATATTCATCAGATTTTTGGTTCAGTTAGAAGATAGTGACTATATAAAGAATTCTATTACAGTTCAAGTATTAGCCATTTTTAAAATATCATACGTACAAGTTGGAAACATGATGTGAATGCATAAAAATTTTTACTGTAATGTAAAACCTGTTTTTAATATTAAAATATTCATCAGATTTTTGGTTCAGTTAGAAGATAGTGACTATATAAAGAATTCTATTACAGTTCAAGTATTAGCCATTTTTAAAATATCATACGTACAAGTTGGAAACATGATGTGAATGCATAAAAATTTTTCTCACAAAGCAGATTAAATTATAAAAATATTTGTGGCAATACAAACTTTCTGGTTACTAGTTCCCAAAGCAGCTATATTATGTAGTCAGCTGTTTAAAGTTGGAAGCAATTGCTTTTAAAATAAATAAAATAACCGAATTCTTGCTGTAGTCACATATTCGAAGATCTTAAGGGTTTTAAAGTGTATGAGTCAAATGAATATCACCCACTGCCAGACTAATAAAGTCAATATACACTGTAGTTCTCCCAGGTTCTGTTTCCCATTATTAGATAGAATAACTGGAAAAAGCTTCTCTTTTTTCCCTCCACATGCAATGAACATATGGATCAATTTTGCACAGAAATTCCTTAATCATGTTATCCATCTATATGGGCAAACAGGCTATTACATTTTTGCATAATCCTTCAATCCTATCTATATAATTTATTTCATTTCATATTTTACTGTGAGGCTGAATTCTTTTTCAGTACACATCCTTTGTTGTTGTTTTTTAATATAAAGATGAAATTGTCATCACTGTGGTGAAGTAATATGGCATAACACTTATACGCTCAGTAGCCCTCATATAGTCTCTGTACATAACAAAAATACAAGCTAAATTCATTTAGAAGTGACCTGCTTAATAGCATCTATATTTTGACAGGATACCTATTTGTTTATGAAAATTCCAGTCTTTACTTGTATCTATAAATAAAATTCAGATTATTTGGATTATGACCAAGGCACAGAGGGTTACCTGTCCAAGGAAAAAGAGAATTCCTGGAGAACATTTGAAGGGAAACTGGTTGGTATTCACATTACGCATGAGGCCACATGCAGATAACTAGTTCACCGAAATGTGAACCAAGTCCAACTATCAGTGTTCATTGATTTTACCGTTCGACCACTGGTTGGTCAACATAAAGAAATAAAGTTTAGTAAATATTCTTGTAATTTTATGGTATTAGCATTCATTTAACTAATTTTTCAGTTTCATCAAAAGAGCATTTTTTTCTTCAAATTTTTCATTTTTAATATAATTTTTGGATTTAAACACAAAGACAGTATTGTTGTCTGAAACATGCAAAATGTAATGCAATACAATGAAAACATAATCAATGAAAAGTTTATTTAAACTAAAGGAAAAATATTAAAAAGAACATGCAACTGAAAAAAAAAAAAAAAAAAGGCTATTATTTAAAAAAAAAAAAAAAAAAATGCAAGCAGAAACAATTTACAGTGACATAGTTTGTATGATGAAATACTTATAAAATAATGGGATAAAAAAAACAATAAATTTAAAAAAATAAATGAACGAAATAAGAAGCTAATATCACAAAAATTAAGGGGATATGTTTAATATATAATTTATTATTAAATTTTTATAAAAACATTAATATGAATTACGATTTGTGCAAGAAATAAATGGTCAAATGTTACTTTCATGTATAAATTAAAAATGCTAATCAATACATGTAATTCTAAACTTTATTCAGTTTGAAAAACAAACTAAAACTGATTAGAGTATGTATTAATTTTAGGCATATCTAGGAGTATTTGTTATCAAAGCCTATTTTCAATATAATGCAATGCTTGTAAAAGTTAATACTATTTCATCATTCGACAATTACTTCAGCTACGAAATAGCAACTGGGTGTGTTTCCCTAGTTTAAGGGCAAAAGGCACCAGAAAAGAGAAAAAAATTCCTTTGTATTCCCTAGTCTCTTATCTGAAAATTACCAAAGGCAATCTCCCTAAAGGAAAGGTTTCAAAAGAGTAGTAGTGGCGTTGAAAAAGGATGGAAGTGCATTCCTATTTATCGCCTTTTTAAATGAAACTTTTCCAAACTTTACCACTTTTTAAAAAATCCATGGCTTGAATAAAATGATTCTTCTTCATCTGCTGATGCTCCTGACATCTTAATGAGGTGGCCAAAAGTTAGTTTAACCTTTTCACAAATTATGGTTGCATCAATAGTGTTGCCTTGCATTTGCTTCTTGTTAATCCATATGAGAAGAAATCTTTTAACATCATCGAGAATATGCGGCCTTTGAGTAGAAATTCTTGCGACACTCCTTATAGCAACAATCTCCTTAATCTTACTCTTATTTTAGAGGATAGCACAAATTATTGATGTAAACCAATTACAGTCAAAAGTCTTTAATCCGGACTCGTCAGGGACTTCGGCGATTCCGGATTATCGGTTTTTCTGGATTATAGATTATCAATTTAAATCTGGTAAGATGGCATGCAGAAATTATAAAATTAAAAATATTAAAAATATGAAACTGTAATTTATGAAATAAAGAGCAATTATGATCTAAAGGGTATCAATTTACATAAAAAGGGCTTAATATTTATTTGTTTATTTTATTAAACATTTCTTTCACTGTGTGCATGCGTAAAGCATACATTAAGCATAGTTGAAATTAGAAAATAGCAACCAGAAAACTATTTGATGTGTATTCGTGATATTTATAATGATGAGGAATTTGATTTAAATCATATCAAAGTCGGAGTACATCGAAATGAAATACTACATTTAGTAAGGAATTATAAGCCAAATAAAATAAAAACATATGCCCTGAAGCTAAGGATAGTGCTGACAGATCAACTTCCAGTTCATTGTGTGCTGCGACTTCCCCCCCCCTTCCGCAGAGCAGCGTGAAATTGATAAACAGATTTTGGAATGGTTAAAGAAACAAAGGATATGCCTTTATCCATTTTTGCAGCAATTCCCCTTTTTGTTTGATGGACATCGAAACATGCTTTCGCTTTGTAGATCCTTTGGCAGCTCCAGAATCAGAAATTCTTTTTGACATAATCAAAAGTTCAAGCTTATGTTTATAAAATTGCTCTAACAGTATGAAAAAAATAATAAGCTGGATCCAATTAGAAGATTAAGGAACAACACAATCTGCAACATTAATTGAAATAGATAATTAGATAATTTTGGCTTATACCGTCCATTATACATTAAACGCGCATACACAAACGTATTATGCCCATGCATAAAAATATTATGTGCATACATAAACGCATATGCGTATGCATAAACGCATTATGCGTTTATGCATGCGCAGAAAGTTTGTAGCTTTGAGGTACGAATTATAGATTATTCCGGATTAAAGACTTTTGACTGTATATGCACATGTTAGGTCAGCCACGCTCACACCTCATTCTCATTTCTCAATGATTTGGCATTAAACTTCTATGTTGAATTTTCTTCTCTTACCCCTGTATTTTCTTTCAGGAAACACAAAGGAGTATTTTTGGAGGATTGCATTATTTTCTTTGGAGACACCACGTAAGCAAGCTAAAACTTAGCAGTTGGGGGGGGGACAATAATGTATCTGAATACAACTTCCAAAAGTGATAGTAAGATGCAAAACAAATGCTATACACAGACTAATAACTGAGACACAGACAGGATTCTGCATGTGTTTTCACAATGTGTCCACATCACCCATTCTGCAAAACATGGCTCATTAAGAGAATCATTCATTTACATTTTGTTTTGCTCATAATGCAAATCACTCATTACGAGAGGTGCTCGTAAAGCAAGATTTGACTATAAAATAATTTAAAATCATTCCATTTAATTTTAATTTCTTTCAGTTTTACAAAATAAAAGCATTTTTATGACTTATTCAAACATATGCATTAGACATATTGCATAGCAAGGCCAAAAAAATAGCCATCATTTTTATTTATGGATTTCCACTATGCTTTTGCAAGATTGTGTGTCACTTTATTCAACACTCATAATATAGTGACACCATCTTAAAAATAACTAACTAAAGAGGTAGAACATATACTACACTATTAATCAACACATAATAAAAATCAAAGTTGACTTTAAGGTACCCCTTGTATTATCGCCAAGTTGTTGTTTCATTTTTCACCACGCTGTTGTATCATTTATGGTAACCTGAGAAGTTGAATGTTATGGAAACCCTATTATGGCATAATCGTTTGCATTATTCTGGGAAATTTTGAATCATGGGATGTTTTGCAAGTGAAAATATATCGATGTGTACATGGACAAACTCAAGGGAATGCGTAAAGCATAGTTTGTGCAATTCTGGGATTTTTTTTTAAAGTGAAAATAGGTCGATGTGTACATGGATAAAGTCAAGGGAGTGCACAATGCCATTTTTTAGCAATTCAGGGATTTTTTTTAAAGTGAAAATAGGTCGATGTCTACATGGATACCGAGTTTGTGCAATTCTTTGACTTGTTATTTTGGCTTGCGTGGCGGCAATTTTTTCACCAAAAACCGCCGCTACACATGCCAAAATAACAAGTCAAAGCATAGCACAAACTCGGTATCCATGCGCCACCAAAAATTGCGAAGTTTCCCCAAGGTGTACCCTAAAATATACTTCTACGAAGTAAAGAAAGTACTGTAATCATGAAAAATTTCAGTTTCCAGATTTCAATGGAAAGATTCCTTTCGATCATTTCCAATTCCATTTTGATTATGTAATGACATCTATATGCATGTATGTTGTCTAGCTCAAAAGAGTTCACCATAAATTTTGTATTTGGAATGACAATACCTAATTATACACCTCCCTGTTTGATTGCAAAAGAGTAACAAAGAGACATTGATAATTGTATAAATATTTTATGTTGATACAAATTAATATTTTAGCAATTGTGTAATTGTCCATTTTATCAAAGAAGTGGAGGATTGTGTCTCAATTTTAAACAAAATACATTTCAATGAAGTGCAGCAAAAATAGTGTATAAGTTTATACCTTGACAAGGAAGTCATGTTGTGTCTATATCAGACTTTTTTCTGTTTGCTTGTTTTTAAGAGAAAGGTATTTACAAAACTGATTAGTAATAACTATTGCATAGATTTATGTATTTTACCTTCAGGATGTGTTGTGTCAAAGTTTCACTGCAAACACTCATTAAGAACTCAGTTAAATATATGGAATTAAGAAGTTATGTTCTGATACTGTTAAGGATCAATATTAAATGCAGTTAAACAAAATGTTACACTGAAAAATACAGCAGTATGCAGTTGACTACTTTACCTGGGATACTTCAGCATTAAAAGCTCTTATGACAAATGCTTCTGAACGCACATGTCGAGGAAGCAGCAAGGTGCACAAATAGTTTTCATGATCATATTTGCTAAATAATAAGAAAAAGAGAGATCATACGTAGAAAGAGACAAAAAATTAAATAACTTTGAAAATGGGTATACATTTTAGAAATTTAAAACTTCTTTCTTTGTTGATCTTTACAATATGGTAACTGGTAGTTTGGCGACATTTTGGAGGCGATAAAGGTTACTACCTGGGACTTTGGTAATAATGTGAGCAGTACTCAGTTCCGATTACGCATTATTTTGCGTGAGGGAAATGAGAGATCATGGGATATGTCATGTGATATTAATGGACGAATAACGATTCTTTAATCGGAAAAGGGGGAAAATTTGAAAAAATAAAAAGTTGTGGATAGCATTTTGTATTTAGGTTCATTTCTGTGTTGTGTGAAACAGTGTTATTTAATTTTTGGATCCCATGGCCCTAACTAAAGTGAATTCGAAATGGGTATTTAGGCATTGTGATAAAGAGAAGTTTGCTTTTTATTTAGCGGAGGAAGTATGGAGGAAAAATTGAATGAATTAGAAAAGTGTATCCGCCACGTAATCAAGATTCTGAAGAAGATTAGGTAAGTTAGTATTTTTAATTATTTGAGGATATTATTTTTATGCATTGTTCTAAATGTAAGGTGGAAAGGAATTTGGTATTATTGGGAAAATTGTTATTAGCAATGATTTAGTTTAAAGTAATTAGGATTGTAAGGTAATTTTTATTAATTTAATGTATGTGCTCATTTATATTTTAAGTAGTGTTTTTGAATTTAATTATATTTTAATTAAATGATAGTTATTTTGTGAATTTTATGTTTGTAGGAATTTGGTATACATTTATGTTGAAATAAATGTGCATGGAAATAATTTAAATATTTGATACTAAGTATTTGTAATGCTTGTGGTATGAATTCGTTGGTGACATGTATAATGTAATATATGATTTAGAGGTAAAAGTTTTTGGATATTTTATTTATTTTATATGTGGAAATGTTCATATTTGTAAAGGGTAAATACTTTTTCGCGATCAGGTAATTTCATACATGTTCTTTTTACCGGGTTTAAAGATTGAGAAAATTGTCATGTATTTTCGTGAAATTTTTCTAATTTATGAGAAAAAAGCAGTGTACATGGATATAGTGAAGAGTGTGTGCGCAATGCCATTTTTTTGTGCAATTCTGGGATGGTTTTTTTAAGTAAAATAAGTCGGCGTGTACATGGTTTATGTGTATGTGTTATTTTGAAAAACGCGTAAGGAGTATGGTATTGTGCACTTTTTCCCAATTTTGCAGTGAATATTTGTCATGATTAAGCAGTTTTGTTTGATAAAATTTCTAGCATAAGTGTAATTCGGCTACTAGATTGTTGGAAGAAGTGTTCAGTAGATAAAAAGAAAAGAAACATATCTTTACTTCGTGAAGACAAAATGGCGGCGGGGAAAAAAAAATAGAGGGTTGCTGTAAGAGAGTTGGTTGCCAAATTTTCGCCAAGTTACCATAATGTAAAGATCAACCACAAAGGGTTATGATTAATCCAAAGAAAAACATAATAAAAGAGAAAAATGTCACAAAAAGTGTTATTTTTATTAGATTTTGAAATCTTTAACAAGAATGTAAATCTTATATTCAAAAATAATGATTTTAAATGGAGTTATAATAGCATAATAACAACAATAAATACAAAATTCTATAACTTGAACTACCTCACCGTACTGTCTCTAAACAGTAGTGGAATGAATCAAATTTCCGAGTCGTTATTCTACGTTCTTTATAAGCATATGCAGAAATGCTAAAAGAATTTGGATGTACAGATTTTAGTTTTAAAAAGACTGTGATAAATTTATCCCCACGATTAAAAGCATTTCGAATGGGGGCTGCCATATTGTTTACAAAATTGACAACTGAAGTTAGTTGTTTCTTTCCTGCATGTAAGGAACGATTACGTAAAATAATGGTTGTCAAACAGTGTAAAAAAAAAAAAAAAAAAAAAAAAAAGACAGATAAGAAGAGACGAGAAGAAAAAAAAAAAAAAAAAAAAGACTCAAGCGCAGATTGCGAAAGCAAGAAACAAAATGGGGAACAAATGCGGTTTTTTCAGTACAAAAGAATACTGTTCAACAATATTTGCCAGCTGCATGAGTAAATATTTGAACAAGTGGGCAAGACGGGGGGGGGAAGCTGCTAGAAAGCAGCTATACGAGCAATATTCATCATAGAATGTATGGTCGGAAATCAAGCGGTGAGAAGTTAAAGGGTATTTTCCCTCTGTCACATTTAAAGAATTAACACAAGAATGAGAGGGTATTTCAAACATTTTATTAACAAGAATGCAATTGACGTACATGCTTAAGCAAATTGCTGGAAGGACCTTCCACTAGATGTTATGCGGGCTTCACCCCTGTGCGATAGGGACTGACGCACATTTGCAAAGACATCAGGCATTTCCCGTGTATCGCCAGCAACAACGGCGAACCAAAGGATTAGATCCGCATTCGTTTCAAAGAGGCATTCGCAGGTTAGGTTTTTTATATGGCTCAACAGGAAAAAGTCCAAACACGGGAGATCCGGTGATATTGATGGCCAAGCTATGGGACTGTTTTGACTCGAAATCCACCTTCGTTTTATATCCAATTTATTTAACTTTACGAAGGAAAATTTGTCAATAGAATCTCTGTGGAGTTTTGTTTTTGATCTTTGTCAATTGATAAAGAATTAATATCTTTACTTAAATCTGGGCAAAGTAACGAGTAATGCCTCCGTGAACAAATCAAACATTTCACACAACTGTGATATCTTTTTGCTGTATGACTAGTCTTAAGGCAGACAAGGCAGCATCTTTTGCGTATAACTTGAGATTTCCTCTCATCTAGAGTCATCTTGGGAGCTTTCTTACAGTCTCTAATAAAGTGTGGATAATCACAAAAAATACATTTAGCCTTTTGCTGCATGAACGAAATAAGAGCTGAAGCAGAAGGTATATCATTTCTTGAAGTATCAATTTCTTTTTAACTTTAACTTGAGTTGAGAAACCTGGGGCCCTAGTCTGGACACCGTCGAGATAGAAGAACGGGTCGCTTTTTGTGATCTACTCGACAGAGAGCGAGTCTAAGGCTCCTCTAAACCTTAGGAGCCTTAAGCGAGTCTGGTGTCATCGTCTCGATCATTACAGAGATCGACGCGTCGGAAATTTTTCCGTCAGCTGGACAGCTGCCGTTTAAGTTTTGACTGTCGTTTTAGAGCTAAACTGAGGACGGCGTAGGTCACGGATTGTTCTTGAAAGTGTACGTAATAGATATTTTAATTTCTTAAGAAAAAATTAGATAGAATAGATTTTTTAATTTCTTTCTTATTCTTTTTAATTTGTAAAAAACTCGAGTATTTCGCTATAGAAATAACGCATTTGATGCTGACGATTCTACATTACCAATGCCTTAATTAAATTTTAGTGAAAATAATATATTTGGTGTTTTCCTATTTCACATATAAAGAAGGGGTGCATACTTTTAATTTAAAATTGTAATTTTTAAACTAATGTATATATCAATGTACTTAATTTCATGTTTTGATGAGTAATTTATAAATTTTGAAATTTTATGTTTTAAATTCATAATGTATTTGCTCTCTAACTTTTATTTTGATTTTCTAGTGTATAAAAATATAATACGTTAGACACGTGCATTAAAGAATATGCAGTATATAATTCAAATTATTGCACATCCTAAATTCAACATTTACATTAAATTGCTTTCAGATAAAAAATTTATTTAAGTAGTTTTAACTGTATCGATATCAATGTCAAGTTTCCAATAGTTTCTAGAATCTCCTGTATTAAAACAAGTTAAATTCCTGGATAATTTTCGGTTAAATTCTTGTCAATATTATAATGCAAGATTTATAATTAGTTATCAGATTTTTAAATATGGTCTACTTTTAGATATTACATCAGTTTTGTGTATATTTATTCAGATAAAAAAAAGTGCTTAGTTTTGGTTTTATGTAATTACGGCAAAGCCTCGAGGGCTATCTGCCTAAAGTGAGGGTTGCCTTCGTGGAGGACATTCTAGGAAAACTAGCTCGTATACACGTAAAACATGGGGGAAACGACGAAAACGTCCATGCAACCAGCCCGTTCGCGGGATTCCAAACTTGAACCGAACTTCTAGGTGTTCAGGGATTTTTACCGGCCGCTGATGGGATCGATTTAAAATGGGTATAAATATATATGTACTGCAATTTCTTTCACTGCATCTGTTAATATATATATATTTAAAACAGATTTTCTGTGCTTTAAACTTCTATGTTTCTGGAAGTTACCAATAATATATCTGTCATTACCAATGATATATTGGTAATGACGCCCATGCGTCCAGCCCGTTCGCGGGATTCGAACCTCGGACCGCACTACCAGTGTTCGGAGATTTTACCGCTAGGCCACTAGTGGGATCGACTTAAAAAGGGCTTAAATAGGAATATGTACTGCAATTTACTTTCACTGCATATATTAATATATTTATAATACATTTATATATACATATAGTTATTTATTTAAAACAGGTTTTGTATGCCTTAATTTTTATGCTTTTGAAATTACGAGAAATATGTTGGTAATGACAGATATATTGGTTATCAGAGAATGATGGTAATGCAACAAACCCGTTCGCAGTATTTGGACCTCGGACCGAAGTACCAGTGTTCAGCGATTATACCACACGGTCACTGGTGGGATCAATTTAAAAAGGGTATAAATGGGAATATGTATTGCAATTTTCTTTCACTGCATATATTGAAATATATATATATATGTGTGTGTGCAAGATAATGTTTTATGATTTAACCAATAGTTATTTAATTTTTCTTCCTATTACTTTTGTTAAAAGTTTGTTATATTTTTACTCACTACTTATTGGTATCTACGATACATAGTATATTTGTAGCTATGTGATAGGTATAATTCCTGAATAAATAAAATTATTGATATAATCATGGGTTGCTAAAAAATTAAAATTTTTTTTGATTCAAATTTCATTAGGAATATTAAACGCGCGTACGCGGTGCTATATTTCAATGATTTGACTTATGACGTTGTTGCATAACCTTTTCAGACAAAATAATGTATTTTAATCATAAAATTCCTGTTAGCAAATAGTTTACAAACATGTAACTTTTTAGAAAATTTTCATTTTGCAAAAGATCATACGTAAAATTATGTTTACGTTTCTTCACATACCTGAAGTTTTGAAAAGGCCATTTCTTTCTGCATTTAAAATATCCATTAACGTTCCCCATTTCTTTTTTCCATACTCTTTACTAAATCCAGCAGCGTATTTTTTCGAAAAATTTCACCATTTACTCGAACTCGATTTTTTTTCTACCGCCATCCTCAATAATAAGCACGTGCGAAACAGCCCCTTTGACAACAAACTACCCTCTTCCCCTGAGCCTGGAGCAATGTAGAGGTGAGATAGACTGGTTGCTATGCAATAAACGTCACTTCCGCACAGAATTTCCACTTCACTTTCCGCCGACGGAATTTGAAGGGGCCAGACTCGCTCTCCCTTCTGCTGTCGAGTGGAAAAAGAATCCCGACTGGTTTTCCGATATCGATCTCGACCGGTGTCCAGACTAGACCCCCTGATCTAGCCAAATTTATCATTTCCTCCCATTAACTTCTTGTATTAAAATTTCATGAGCTTTTCAAGGGATCTTTGACTGTTTTCAGCAACCTCGTTGTTACTCTTAGGAAGACTGGACACTCGGTATTTTTCCCAAGCTCTCAAAACATCTTCAGGAAGGCAAGAGGAGACAAGAAATCTGCAAACTTTTGTTTAGATTCTCCTAACGTATCTAAAGCTTTTAATGTGATTCCAGTTGATCTTATAAAGTAATTAAATCTGTACATTTCCTACCCTTAACAGCATTTTTCATTGCCATTGAGAGTAATTCACAAACCTATACTTGTACGAATAAATCTTATCTGCCAAATCTTTCTTTCAATAATTCAGTTACTTTGGGGTAATTTTTAGCTGTAGGAGGGAACTGTCTATTAAACTGGCAGCTCGAGAACCAGAAATAATCGCCTGAATCAGATAGTGGAACTTATCTTCAGTCGGCATTTCTTCACCCTCATGAATTCTGGAAAACTGACTTCAAAATCCCAAAAAGGTGACTGAATTGACTTATCATCAGAATTGTTTTCAAAATTTTCAACCTTAAAAGAAAAGTACTCTTCTCTATAATTTTCAGCTTCACTGAAATCTTTAACGTATTCCTGTTCTTGTTTTTTTTTTTTTTTTTTTTTTTTTGGCGCCCTCGCCAAGTAATAATTCAGAAATTGCATGTTGAACACTTTCTAAGCGCTGGAATTTGTCATGTAACTTTGAATTTAATTCACGAAAACGAAAGTGGAAACATTCATTTTTCTTTTCGTAATTTCTTCGGCAATAGCCTTTGTCGTATTCGTAAATGTTGCACGTAAAGTTTTACGTTGTAATTTTAAAGTATCCATAATAAAGTAGGAAAGTTTATGAGAAACTAAAAGCACAAATAATTAACGTTTAAATTCAAATCGTACTTTGCTTGTCAAAGCTCATGAGAAACTAAAAGAACAAATATATATCATATAAACTCAAATCGTACCTTACTTATTTTGCAGTTACTCCAATCTCTATCTCAGACGCCACTTTTATATTGACTCGAAATCCAACTTTTTTATATCCAATTTATTTCACTTTACGAACACATACAGATAAATGCGATTATTTACATATTTAGTGTAATGATGAATACGATCCATACTTCTTAATGATGAAAAACTTTCAGTATCTCAGTAACGTAACTTAACTGCTTAAAACGGGAATTTTCCAATCATTACATTCAAAATTAAACTGATTGCCAGATTCATACATTAAACAAAATTAAAAAAAAAAACTATTAAGTAATAAGAAACGGAAAATGCTAAACTTAATAGGAGTCGCAGCAGGGACCATCTTGACCAATCCATCGCTCTGGAAATTTCACGGTTCGTATAACCAGCCATCATCTCGGCAATCCACGGTAAAAAATGCCGTTGGGAGCGAGGACTGACCTTTTATACCATTACAATGCCACCTAGTGGCTAGCCGTTTGCGTCTGACCATACATTCTATAACGACTATTGTTCCTATAGCTGCTTTCTATCACTCCTAAAGTTCTGCCCTCTTGTTCAGATTCCCCGGTATATGTGAATAGTTTTAGTGAAATTATACGCAAAATTGTAGTATTTCATGTATCCCGTTTTACCTTCGATATCAGAAGAATTATGATGGAAAATGAGTATACAATCAATTATCCAATGAAAGACATCTCTTCACGACACAAACAGTTTAATATTACAATTCTATTTACAAGTCTAATTAAGTGTTAGTTTTAGCTTTGACACCTCAAAGCAATACTCAGAACATAAATGGCATAAAATATTGCTCATCAGTTTTTAAATACTCATGAAAAACATCTCAAAAAGTCATTATTCTCATTACTTAAAACGAAAGTAAACAATAGAACAAACTCGAAAACGTAGATGTAAAAACTCAACTGTTGCCAATCGCGATTTACTAAATTACATAAAAATAAAGATAATAATCAGGTAGAGGTTCAACTTCACATCCTCCCACCTAAGTTAATATTTTTACCTCAAAAATTTAACTTACAAAAGAAAATTGTGAATATTTTTACTATAAAGTTACAAAAAGAAAATTATAAAGTAGTTCATAAGTCCAGTCTCTTAGGTACTTTGATTGTACGACCTGCTCTAGTCTTTTGAATCTGAGGTTCAAGTCCACACACGTTATCAAAGGAAGAATTGGCCACAGTTTCACCTCCCACCTTCGCGGTTGAAAATTTCTCAATAATGGGATCATCGTTGGAAACTTCAAGTGGATACAATCTTTGAATTGGTCTTAGCAAGTGTCCATTAGCTGTTCTAAGCTTGACAAGTCTTGTAATTCCATCTTTTCCTGGAAGAATCTGAATTATTTTACCTAATGGCCAATTGATTCGCTTGGTGTTATCACTTCCTATCAATACAATATCACCAATATTCACTTTCACAGATTTTTGTTTTTCCTGCTTTTTGAATAAGTGCTCCTAAATATTCAGACCTAAACCTGTTTCTTCAAATCCTTTTGCAAGTTTTTCTCTATATTTGACTCGCTTATTAAGACTTTTATGCCCAATGTCATCAAGATCTGGAACACCACTTATTTGATTATCTTGCAGAAATAGAGATGGACTTAAAGGCATTAAAGTAGCATCACTTTCAATTATATATGTCAATGGACGGGAATTAATTACTGCTTCACAGTCACAGAGAATCGTGTTCATTTCTTCAGAAGTTAGCGAAGCTCTTCCTAATACTCGTCTCAGAAATTTCTTAAGAATTCCTATCAATCTCTCCCACCAGCCTTCCCACCAAGAGGAAGTTGGTGGGTTGAACTTCCACTGAATTGGTTGTATAGATGTGTCTTCAGTGATTTGCTTCCAGTTTAAGTCTTGAAGTACATTTGAAGCACCAACAAAATTGGTTCCGTTGTCACAGTATATGATTCTGCTCCGTCCTCTACGAGCTATAAATCTTCTAAGAGCTAGTAGAAAACTCTCAGTAGACATCGATTCAACCAACTCTAAATGGACTGCCCTATAAATGGCGCAGGTGAATAAACAAATCCAAGATTTCTTGTTGCCTTTCAGGATTACTGGTCCCGCAAGATCAACTCCACAGATTTTCAAATACAGCTGCTTCTCGTAATCTATCTTCTGGAGGAGCCCCAGTAGAAGTTTCTAGGTTCTTTGCAGAAAATCTTCTACACACGGTGCATTGATTGATGATAGATCTCACAGTTTTACGAGCATTCAGAATCCAAAATCTCTCTCGTAGAATATTTATTAAAATTTGAGTACCCAGCATGTGCATTTTTCTCATGATAGTATCGCACTAGTCTCTTGACAACCTCATGATTGGAATGGAAGAATAGCTGGCGTTTTAAAGTCTTCTGTATCCTCACGAAAGGTAAGTTTAGTTTTAGTCTGAGGATTCCACTTTGATCCTTGAATACTCCTAAAGTTCTTAATTTCTCATCCTTTTCATTCACAAAACAATCTTCTTGAACCATTTTGATCAATAACTTCTCAGCCTCAAAAATTTCATCAGAATCAAGGTTTCCATGCTTTCTCACTGTTTTTTCAGTTCGACAATTGGAGGTGAATCTTAGGATCCAGGCAATTAGATTAACTATCCTTTTGTATTGGGAAAAATATCTGTAATACCAGTCTCTCTTGGTAACCAAGCATGCAGAAACTAAACATTTAGTTACAGAAGAAACTATGCTCTTTTTCTTTTCTCTAACAATCTCAGTCTCATCTAAATTTAAGTCACCTTTAGGCCAATCTTCTTCAGGCAAGTAAAGCCAACTTGGACCTAACCACCACTGAGATTTCAATAAGGAGAGAGCTGAACAACCTCTACTCGGAAGATCAGCTGGATTCATGCAACCAGGAATATGTCTCCAAGAATCTTTATTTGTTAGTCTTCTTATTTCCTTCACCCTATTCTGGACAAATACACTCCAGGCTTCTTCTCTCGTTATCCATGCTAAAACAGTAGAAGAATCAGTCCAGAAGTAAACTTCTTCACTCTGTATCTCAGACAAAATTGAGGACGAAAGGCGAGACGCTATAGTAGCTGCAAGTAATTCCAATCTCGCGATAGTAGTTTCTTCTTTTCCAGTTGGTGTAACTCTACTCCTGGCTTGTATCAGTTGTACTTTAGTAGAATCAAAAGTTTTTATACGAATGAAAGCAGCCACGGCATAAGCATGCTTACTGGCATCACAGAAAATATGTACTGAAGTATTTTCACTCGTACTCCTTTGAACCAAAATATCTTGGAAAATGATCATTTGATCTTTTCCAGATAGTCAATATCTTTCAACCATTTTAAAAATGTAGTTCTCGTACAGGTATCAACTTCTTCATCCCATGTTATCTTCTGCTTCCAAGTTTCTTGAAGTAATAACTTAGGGATAAGGATAACAGGACAACATATACCAAGAGGATCAAACAATCTATGAGCTGTAGATAAGATTAAGCGCTTAGTCACTTTTTCAAAACATAACTCTTTTATACTACCAGTATTTATTCTTAGAGTGTCAGATTTTTTATTCCATATTAAACCGAGCACATTTGTATCAGCAGAAGCATCAGCATTAATATCATTGAACTCCCACCCTCTAAGCTCAAATTTTCTCTCAGCCATTACCTCAGTTGATACACTAATAAAATGATTGAGTTCTTCTTCATTTTTTTACACAACTGACACATTGTCAACATAAAAACTATGCATAATTTTTGAATGACACCTTTCGTATATAAGGATTCACCGGTTTCTATTTTCTCTAAAACAGTTTGTAGGTGAAGCTGAATAGTAGAGTTTAGAAGAAAAGGGCTACTTGCTACACCAAAAACTACACGGCAGTGCCTGTACACTTTCAGTTGACCATCACTATCAAGCCATAAGAACCGCAAAAAGTCTCTATCAGTAGGTGAAACACTTATTTGAAGAAAGGCTCTTCGTATATCAGCAATAACACCAATCTTTTCTTTTCGAAAGCGTGTTAAAATACTCGGAAGCTGTTCTATTAGATTTGGGCCTTTTTCTAAGCAGTCATTAAGACTAGGAAATCCCTTTACTTTGGCCGAAGCATCAAATACCGGTCGGAGTTTTGTAGTGCTATTCTTTTTGATAACTTCTCGATGAGGAAGGTAAAGAACTTGCCCTTGATAATTTTTATCAGCCTCTTCAATTACTCCCTCTTCTAGCCATTCCTTGAAAACATCTCCATAAGCTTCATAATTGGACTCGATTTTAAGACGTTTAACAGTTTTGTTCAGTCTTCTCGGCTAAGTCAAAATAGTCTGTTA